GGGGGGAATCAACTCAGTGAACAACAGATACCAAGGATGCTGGCTGATGAAGAACACGAAGTAAGCTAGGTAGCCAATATAAGGCTTAGTCATCTTGCCAAATAGTGAGCCTGTGTTGATGTATGAAAAATATGTTAGAACTGGTTTTTAAATGGTTCTTAATGATTAATAAAGTGTTTACAACTTAATTAATAACCTCATTATAAACCCTTTATGAATCCTTTATAAGGGTAGTCTTATTGTAAATTGGTACCAATTCTTCTTCTAAAGCTAAGCTAGCTCTGATAGCAATTTACTCCAGTTGGGGTACCACGGCACTGTGGTAACACATGGTCAATCACAAGGTAAACACACCCTAAAGCATACTTAACACCTATTGACTCATTTATATTACTACATTTATTAAATTAACAAATATATGTATCGAAGAAGATTTGAAACTAACAGTTGAGACCATAAACTCATTGATAAAATGTTTACTCCTTGATTTTGATCTAAATTACGCACTTTTAACATTTATTTGATGGCATGATAAACTTGCCTTGCATATTAGCCATGGGCGTAAAATGGGAGGGTCAATGGCCTCTCAGCCCCCCTTCTTCAGACCACGCCAAGTTTTTTAACTTAACTTGCATGACATGTGATAATGACACAAACACAGACTTAGAAGCTAAATACAAAATTATCCTTGCTGTTGTGACTGGTAATAAATCAAGGCAAAAGTAGGGGTCATTCTCTCATAGACTTCTATGAATTTAGACTTATTGTTGGAACCAGCAGAGCCGCCCCCTGCTGGTCATTAGAAATATTTCAGGTTTAATGAATGGACGTTTCCCCTTGACAGATACCCATTGTCCTCAAAGGATGAATCCTAATGAGCTTGGTATTCCAAGTAGGATTTATAACCAAATACCAACAAAACAAATGATATTCCTAGCCTCAGCTGTACTTTGTGTTTAGTGCTAATTTAAATAATTTAAAGCGCTGCTGGACATCCTGTCATATGATATGTCTTTAAAGTATAAGCTGTAGAGAGCTCATAGCAATATTAAGAAGAACTGATTATGGATAAAGGGTTAACTTGATATGTCATCAGATTGGGATGGACTTATGTCTATTTGTTTTATGGGGCCTGCGGTTGGTGGTCGGCACATTTCTGCTGAGTAGTGAGAGGCAGAACAGTAAATATGGGATCAAACAGCTTCCCACAGAGTTATTCGCTCCAGCTAATGGAGAAG